AACAAGTATACTATTAAAATAATCACAATAGATTATACTAAAATAGAGACAACCGAGAAGAAATCGCTACAGCCTGTTGTATTGACCAGCATGAAGAGTACTTTTGCTGAAACACGTAAGCTTGTCAAAGTCATTCTACCTCATTCCCTTCTAGGACAAAAATCCGTTCATCACTCGCGAGTATCTATAGGCTGTTAAGGGGTGCGCTAAATTTCAAAGCATCAAGGTAGAGAGGAGGCCTATAGATATAGCAATAATAACTAATTATTTTATTCTATAAATCAGAATAAATAACATTAACACTAATAAATATAATAAATGATTAAGTAAAGTAAAATCATTTGAATAACAAATGTAAAAAAAAATATACAGAAAAGACCAAGAGTCCACTTTATGGTGCAGACCATCGATTTCAGAAAACCTATTGAAAACTATTATTAATTACACAAGCTTGGGCCTTTTAGTATTTGTATTTTTCCTTATATTTATGAAGTTATGTCATATAAATTTCTTTTACAACGAAAATGTGTAAATCGGGCGGAGGCAAGGTAACGCAGGGACCAGAACACTTACAAATTTAACTCAAGGTTCTTCCAATACCGGCAGAACCTATCAACACAAGGCAAAGCGAGAATATCATTTTTGCTCAACTATCTCATCAAACCATGTGTACAAGCATTATACCAAAAGAGTACATTCTCTTCAGGTATACAATTCTTCAACAATTAACAATACCTCTGAGAAACACGGCAGGCTTGTACAACTTAAAAAAAAAAAACTTAAACACTTCCTTGGGGGAAAACCTTTTTATAGCAATTCAGCAATACATCAATGACTAACAGTGTGCATATGTGGATTTCAGGTTGCTGGAGTACCAGCGACTAGGTGTAGAAATAGGAAAAATATCTGCCTATAATCCTGCCTCCTCCCCATTTCAAGATTTTATCAAGGAATATACTAACACTGTTAAATCATATGTTCCTGTTACCATAATTGTTATCATGTACTGTTAGTATACTAATATTATTATATTATATGTAATGTTATCTATTATAAATAAATATATATATTCTAACTAACCCACCTATGCTTGAAATTACCACCTTTAACAGCCGTATGTAGAGAAGGATTTTCCTAAGGATGGGATGATTTGACAGCTAGTGCTGGCAACACAACTGACGATTCTGTGTCCTTGAACTTAATAGACTCTCCTTCCTCCAATTCGTTCGTTTGCAGTTGGCTAACGTGTAAAAAGCCACGACGCTCCCTGCTGTGATGTCCCCTCGTCCGACGGAAAATATAGTGCGCCACGAGAAATAATTGAAATTAGGAAGTGCGAGCTTTGTGCTCTACTGGTAAAAATTTTCGTTTTTTTTATAAAAAATATATTGAATTTAGTTTTATGTGACTAAGTATTATGTTTGTTTTAAAATCGTGTCTTGAATGTGTGATACCGTTAATGTTTTCGTTTGCATTGTGAATGGGCTTTTAGTGGTCGGATGACCAAGTGCTATCGATACGTCCCATTATCGCAACTGTATCAGCCACTGATTCATACGGTCGCGACATCTAGCGGCACGACTGAGAATGACGCGAAATGCAGTGACATAATTCCAATGTGAAGACGGAGCTCACGCGCACACTTAAATAAAAAATAGCACTATAAGTGTTTGACTGAGAGGAAAGCTAAATGGCATAAATTCATGAATAACTTTCAAATTTAGGCGTCTTCCTACAACTGCAATATTGGAGACATATTTTTTTCCTTAATGAAATCTGTTTTTGAAAGACATTTTAAAATAAGGTCACTTACAAGTTTTCGAACATATCAGTAGTTTTTGATTAATTTTGGGTGAAGTAGAGGTAATTTTTCGAAATTGTTAGAACATTTATTTTCTCAAGAATGGCTCAAACTTTTCTTTAATTTTTTTTAGTTTTTTATTAATTTTGGGTGAAGTAGAGGTAATTTTTCGAAATTGTTAGAAATTTATTTTCTCAAGAATGGCTCAAACTTTTCTTTAATTTTTTTTTTTTTTTTTTACG